GGTTTTCTTGCAGTTTAGTCCAACTCCTTGAGTGAACTGACAAGTTAAAGGCATAATCTAGCCCCATGGCATGGAAAGCCAGAAATAAAGTAAAACACTACCTGATTAATGGCTTAAGGTGATGGAGATTTCACATTTGTCGACTTCCTTCTTCAGCACCTCCATGCACGGCATAACACAACTTTGCCATCCTAACGCAAGGTCAGAATCAGGTAAGTAACACTTCCCCATGCGCATGAAATAAGGGGCAGTAGCTGTTTCCTCAGCAGCCTGTATCCAAGCAAATGAAGTTAAGAGGGTAGATGTGGTAGAGAGTTCTATGACTAAGAAGCAAGGCTACAGCTCAACTGTTGGCACTCCCACAGATTTCCCTATTCAGTCTTCTGTGCTCTTTTTCTCTCTGAAAAAATTGTATCAAAAATAATTCTAACCTAAGCTTTCTGTGCCATGTTTCTTATATGCTGAGAAAATGATTAACATAGTCTTGACAGTGAGGGTGACAGAGCACTGGAACAGGTTGCCTAGAGATTATTTGGGATCTCCTCTGGAGATCTTCAAAACCTGCTTGGATGCAACCCTCTGTAACATGCTCTAAGTTGGTCCTGCATGTGCAAGGGGGTTGGACTAGATGATCTTTAAAGGTCCCTTCCAACCTTAATGATTCTATGATAGTCAATACTGTTGCAGGTTGAGGTTCATTATTACCGTGATTTCCTATTCCCCAAATACATTTACATAACCCCAGAGCATCCCTTAAGAGAACACTGGATGGCGTCACTCACCTGTTGTCACACAGCAGATGCCTACTCCCATAGGCAGTGGGGAGCCAAAGAAGCAGCAGGAGCACATGGTGCTGCAATTTCTCCTCTGGCGCTAAACCTAATGCATTTCAATAGCCTGTTGGTCAGGAAGTCTACAGCAAGACCTAGCAAGGGAAGTTCAAGAGAGCAGCTGCACTCTGCAGCTTTCCCACTAACACATGAACAAAGGTTTGCCAATAATAATAATAATAGTAAAGTAATTATTAGTACTATGTAGAAAACTCCAAGTAAAGAGGAAACAAAACTTCTTGCATTTGGCAAAATCAATTTTATTTATGGATTAATTGTAAGAGTTAACATTTTAAACATTCTAACATGTGTACCCCGCCAGACATGTTAATTGCTGGAACAATACTGCAAATAATGTGAAGAAAGTAAAAATAATTACTCATCTCCATATAAATACAGAGTTCTCAGAAATGTATTTGTTATTTTTTTGTGTTACAAAAAGTAGGATTTGCCAATGCTCAGAAGGTAAGACAACTTCAGTGGGAACTTTATATGCCAGAGAAATATAAACTTCTGCTCTTACTAGTCCAGATAAGAAAAAGCTAAACACAGTATGAAGACCACTACACAAACTGGCAAATACAATGCCTTTGCATAGCTGTTCTGAAATCTGGTATTTCAAGAGGTTTCTGATAAAATTCTTCTTATTATATAACAAAGCTACTACTCTTTGCTTCTTGCCTTTGATATTTAAAACTCCAGGGTGTGGAGTAGGTCAGACTTTATGGCCAATTAAGAAAGCATTTAAATAACGTTAAATCGAGCCTTAGCTTGAACCCCCTTTTTTTTTTTTTTTTTTTAAGTATTGGTGGTTTTGTATTGCTTATTTATCTCTGTATATTTTAGGTATTATTATCTATGGAAAATAATCACATTTCCAAGGACAGCTCTTGATCATTTAAAGAAGTGACTAAGTCTGCAGTTTGATTTGAAATTGGGTTAATATAGATTCTGTGGTCTAGAGGGAGTTAGATAAACATAAGACAAGTAGCACCTGACAGTAAACTTTTATACTTTGTGTCTTCCTACAGAGTTTACTTCTGTAAACAGCTTCACTCAGAACAAAGTACCTAAGTATAGACTGTGAATCACACTCATTTTTTTTCACCCATTAATATTTGAAGGAGCCATCTCCATGACTAGTATCAAGTCTGAGTAGTATAAATGCAACTGCATATAATGATTTTATCTGAAATATTTGCTAGCTAAGGAAAATGGACAAAATTTACTTTGCTAGCAGAAAAGATCCCTCATACAACATAAGCATCACTAAAAATACTAGCATACACACAACATATGGGCAACAGAATCAAACATTACAGCCCTACAGAAAGAACAGGTAGACCAGAAGCTATCCATATGCATTCCCATTTCCCCGTGAAAAAATACTACATATATAGTAAAAATATAATCCTTTGCCACCCAAGCTAGGCTGTAAACATGTAATCACAAATGTTGTATAGGGAACATATGCATTCAATCTACTTTTGTCATTCAGGTGTCCATTCCTAAGAAAATGGGAAGATAGTTTGCAAAATTTGGCCCTCCAAAATGGAGGAAAATTTTGACTTCTCATAGACCAAAGGCAATTTATTGGCAGACTCTCTCAATGGTCTCAATCTATTGCTGTATGTTTATAGAAAGATTTGCAGTTACTCAAACTATCTGAAGAAGCTAAAGTCTCTAGTTTAATTTTTCAGATCTGATTGTTCATATTCCTTTCAAACAAAGATGTATTCTGCACAGCTACTGGTTTGAATAATTTATAGAGTAGCAGGGTTCCACAGTGAAAAGGCTTCATTTTTCCAGTGTGGCCTTCTTGATTTTAAAAAAAAGTCCTGACAAAAACAAAACAAAAAAAGAAATAGCTGCAGTTAGCTGTAGCATATTTTTTTGTATTTTGTTTGTCTTTCTGGTAAGTACAGTTTTGCTGTCAAGTTAACTGTTAGTAACTGTTAATTTTATATAACTAGATCTCAGCTGGCTTGTTTTGATATATACTAGAAGTAACAATTGAGAAGACCATGAATGCTTCTAGAAACAATCTTACCTGTCTTTTCTACGTATCTATGACTGTACTTACAGAAATGACATCAGATAGAAAGTATACATGTTAAACTGAGTTTGTGAAACGACGATAATTTTGGGACAAACTCAAAATATAGTGACAAATTAATACAGACCAATTGCAGTGAAAAACAAAAGGACATGAATATTTGTTTACATGCATACTGCAATGTAATCCAAATCGAAACTTGTTCTTTGGACAAGCCTTATGAAGCAATTTTCTTCACAAGCCACAGCAGTGGTCCTCAGATAAGGGAC